GTTAGCCTGTGTGGCTGAATTTTACATGAGTGATGTCAGCCTGTGTGGCTGAATTTTTTTACCTGTGTGATGTTAGCCTGTGTGGCTGAAATTTACCTGGGTGATGTTAGCCTGTGTGGCTGGATTTTACCTGTGTGATGTTAGCCTGTGTGGCTGAATTTACCTGGGTGATGTTAGCCTGTGTGGCTGAATTTACCTGGGTGATGTTAGCCTGTGTGGCTGAATTTTACCTGTGTGATGTTAGCCTGTGTGGCTGAATTTTACCTGTGTGATGTTAGCCTGTGTGGCTGAATTTTACCTGTGTGATGTTAGCCTGTGTGGTTAAATTTTTACCTGTGTGATGTTAGCCTGTGTGGCTGAATTTTACCTGGGTGATGTTAGCCTGTGTGGCTGAATTTTACCTGTGTGATGTTAGCCTGTGTGGTTGAATTTTTACCTGTGTGGCGATAGCCTGTGTGGCTGAATTTTACCTGTGTGATGTTAGCCTGTGTGGCTGAATTTTTACCTGTGTGGCGATAGCCTGTGTGGCTGAAATTTACCTGTGTGGTGATAGCCTGTATAGATGAGCTCAACATGAATAGTGTTAGTGAGTGGGATGGAATTAACCTGAGTGGTGTTAGCTTAAGTGTATGAGATTGCGGCTCGAGTTGAACAGAACCCTATTTGTCATTTATAGGACCTCCTTCAGATAGTACGGACCCTGCAGGCGACCGTAGATGGACTACAGAGGGGAAACGCAGGTGTTAGAGCCATTCTGAGGGACATCCGTAGTATAGTTCAACGGCCTGACAGCCTTTTCGACGCGACGTCAGCCATGCAACTTGTTGAAGACCTCGCTACCGCTGCTAAAAGGGAAAACCATAGGAAAGCGGAGGACTATCAATCAGCAGCAGAGTTGCTGCGTTTACATAGGCACGACCCGAAGCTTAAGCAGGCAATTAGGGAGATATACGCCACAGAGTCCGAAAGGAAAGTGAGCAGAAGGGTGTCTGGGATCTTAGGTTCCGGAGGAAGTCAATCCAAGCAGTCAACGCCGACACGTCCAGGGCGGAGGGAAGGGTACCAGTCTTCAGGACACTGGTCATACGCACCACAGCCATGGCGACCATATCACCAGCCGCAGTACGGAGGGAGGAGGTGTTATGGGTGTGGCTCGCCGGAGCACCTGGTGGCTAAGTGCCCGGCCAGACGTGCCAGCAGGGAGAGAAGTTCAGGAAGAGATAGAGACAGGGACGAAAAGAAGAAAGATTAAGAATCTGCTGTGAAAGGAAATTAGGCATTTGAAGTGAAAAGGAATAAAAGGAAGCTTAAGTGTTAAAAAAAAGGAGAGTCAGGAGTTAGGCAAGAGTGAGAATTTTCGGTCATATCGCCGCGTCTAAGAATAACAGTAATATTTTATTTTTGTTGTATCTTATTAATAAATTGAATAGATCCTGTGGTGCGAAATTGCAATTATGCAGTGGTGCTACGGTCCAAATGTTGTAAAATCGTTCAACGGGTGAACAAAAATTTCTTTGTATGTGAAGTGAGTAGACCTGCTAATGTTAACCTGAGGGAAACACTGCCACGTCTAAGAGTAACAGTAATGTTTTTGTTGTATTTTCTTAAGCCTGAGGCTATTGACAGGATCGTCCTGTCAACAGCAGGAAATACTGCACTGCTGACAGGATCGTCCTGTCAATAGCAGAAAATACTGCACTGCTGACAGGACGATCCTGTCAATATCAGAAAATATTGCACTGCTGACAGGACGATCCTGTCAATAACAGGAAATACTGCATTGCTGACAGGATCGTCCTGTCAGCAGTGCCATTTTTGACACTGTTGACAGGATCGTCTTGTCAGCAGTGCCATTTTTGGCACTATTGACAGGATTTTTTAAATCTTCCATTTTGGGCTCTATTGACATGATTTCTTCTTTGTTTTCATTTGTTTAACCAGTCAGAAGGCATATGCAACTGTACTGCAGATTAGGCGTTTCACGATGGCGGCTATCATCACGTTAACAGTTATCAATACAGAGTACTCCAGCAGATATATGTCAAAACTAGACATGTTCAAAATATAAATACAAGCGAATTTCATGCATAAGGAAAGTACCGCTGGTGTGGCCGGTTCAGCTAGCCGGCCCGCTAACAACAACAGCCCCCTGGCGCGCGTATCCAGCTGGCCACCGACTTTTACCGGCCCCACACTGCCACAGTACCGGCAAAGGCACGCTGCAGGGCCTGGCACGCTGGTTAGTGTTACTGGGGGGCGGGTTGTTGTGTTGCTGTTAGCACGCCTGACGGTTAACCCTGGGTGCCCCAGAGTCCGGCGTTTATTTG